TGTCCTTGGCTATATCCAGTACATAACCAGGATGAAGATATTAGAGGTCTGGCTTGTTAGGTTTATAAATGTCAAAAAGCCAGGAAGGGAAACTAATCCCTTTGGTGACATGATTCAAGAAGATCTCAACAAGTTTTAACTATGGATACACTTGAGCAGATGACATTTAATATGCAGTAAAGTAAAACAATGCTTCAAAAACATCATCTATGTGTATATACAAAAATACAGAGATCTAGCTAAATGTAAAGATGTTGGTTTATGTTGACTGCATCAGTGATTTCCAAATTTTTTCTAAAAAATAAATAAACAAAGAGAACCAACATACAGCTGCTAATATTTTATTGGTTAATTAAGAAGATTCAAACAAAACAAAAATCTACAACAAATAGCAAAAGCCATCTATTGTACCTACTAAAAATATTTCATTTTAGAAAGCCTATTTTATTTATCATTTCATTTTAGAAAAGCAGAAGAACAGCATCTCCAAAAATAACCCATTGAGTTACATAAATATAACTTTAAAAGCCATAACATATTTCTCTCAGTGTGTTTTGCTTAGAACTGGGAGGTAAACACAAATAGTTTTGTTAAAGAGTTGACAAAAACTGTAAACACAAGTGTATGGCTTGAAATAAGGAAAAGAATAGTTTTACTACACTCCAAATTCAGACCATAATTACAGAATTAAATATGAAAACTAGAGCAGAAAAAAAGAATAGCACTGATAAAACTAACAGAATTCAGTTGACAGAGATGAAAAAAGCAAATGAAGCCATATCATATGAACTAGAAGTAGTGAAACATTTAATTTAGAATAAAAGAAAATCCAGCAGAGAGCTAATAAATTTGAGAAAAACTTTACAGTGTTTTACTCCAAAAGATAGAGTGCAACAAGAAGTTAGATAACAAAGAAGATATTGGCTCAATTTTTGTAAAATCTTTCCATTATACTTTCTGAAGGGTAAATGGTCTTTCTTCTATATTCAGGGAAGTATTCATGGAGAGTTAGGTTCATTAGTATCTAAGGAATATTAGTAGTGGGTGGCATATTGTATGGATGACTGGTTAAGCACCAATTCAAAAAGATGAGCAGAAACAATTTGGCTTTAGTCAAAAAGCCAAAGGTTCATTTATGGGCTCTAACCTTTATATGTGACATTAAAAAAAGCCTCAAATTTCTTCCACTTTAAATATGGAATTAAATGTATTTTTATAATATGTTTATTAAGACTGCTGCATAAATTAAATGCAATCTCTCTCTCTCTCTCTCTCTCTCTCTCTCTCTCTCTCTCTCACACACACACACACACACACACACACACAAACAGCCTGACATTTAGCAGGTGTTCCATAAACGATAGGCATAGTTCACTGAATAAACTTTATGTCCCAAAGTACAATATTTTCTATGTAATTTGTTAATTATCAATACACTTAAATAATAATCTGTTCTTTGCTATGTATCATACGCTATTCAAATCTAAGCAATGCATGCTTGGGATTCTTTTCCACTGTATGCAATCTCTATTTGCATGTAATTTTTATGAGGTTTTCTTTAACCTTTTGTTGGTTTCTTTTCTACCTTTGCTTATATAAAAGTAGGCTTTATAAATACAGCTATGTTATTCACTCTGAGTAAAAAAAATTTATACTGTTGCACAATCATTTCAACTAAACTGGACAATATACCCAGCTTAATCAACCACAGATGTTTTCTTATTCTCTTTACATATCAAAATGGCTAACTCATGATTAAAACTCATTCATCATGAAATAATTGAGTTAATAAATCAAAGCCCCTTTCAGCATGGGTAGTTATTTAAAAATCTTCATTATTAATAAGAAGATTAATAAAAAAAGATGATCTGAGATTTCTCCCCATTAAAAGTAAACCTATTTCTTATAATTCTCAGGTTGATACATATTATCTACTCATGAAACATTTTCAGATAGTATGTAACTGACCTTCTGTTATATTTCTAGAATAATTTGCAACTACACAGACACTTGAGTCTGCAATTAAGTATCATCCTGTTAGATACTTATTAGCAATGTTTAACAACCCAGTGTTTAAAAGGAAGAGTTGGGTGTGATAGCACAAGCCTGTAATCCCATATACTCAGAAGTCTAAAGCAGGGAAATTGCAACTTCCAGGCCAATCTTGGGAATTTAGCAAGACCCTTTCTCAAAAAAAGAACTGAAGTACCAACAAAAAATAAATAAATAAAAAGAAAAAGAATTACACATTAATTATAAAGGGAAAAATTATTTTCCTGGAAAAGAATTTTCTGAATTAAAAAAAAAAAAACCATATAGACAAGAAGCTTAAACAAATATAACACTTAGTACTATATGGGAACTCATCTGATTGCTATCAGATGCAAAATAAAACTTTTTTTCTGGTAGATAAAAAGGAATAAGAAACAGACAAGGAACAAGCAAATCACTAAGCATAGAATTTCAGAAAGCACCTTGATATCTGCATTAATTGATGCAGAATAATGCCTATGTATACAATGTAAATTTCATTATTCTAATGCTAAGACAGGAAACATGCAGATTAGTTATTCCCATGTAAAATCATTTTAGAACACCATGAAAGTTACCAATAAAATACATTTAAAGTTTGAGTGAATATAATTTCACACACTGAGTTTAATTATGGATTATTTTCTTAAAGTTTGATTAAATTATGGGAAATAAATTTCAAAAAAAAGGCCTACTAAATACAGTGTAGAATTAAAGAATTAAAATTCTAAAGCAACCAAAAAGCAATGTGTAATAAAAATTAACCCAATAAGAAACAAAGTTAATGTTTCTTAAAAGGTAAGTTCTAGTTTAAGTTGAAAATCATTAGAATTCACTAATCAAAGAAAAATAAACTTCATATATTTTTGTTAAGTGAAATTTTATTTTTGCACAGTTTATAGACTTGATCGTGCTATTAGAAAATCTCACTGACTTTCAAGAAATAATATTAAAATATTTTATAGTAAAGAACTGGAAAACCCTTCCAAAACTTTCTTTTTATGAAAAGCACATGTTAGGACATCTTTCTTTATACAGGATGTTACTTTCTGAAACTAAAGTTCCATTTCAGTAAAATTACTATTTTTACATCACAAAGATGACTAAATTAACCCAACTATGAAAATCAAAGTCACTGACACAGATAGCTCAAAGAGCATGCAGAGAAGCTTTTCATAAGTTTGTACAGGGTGGGAGGCCTAGGGTGGCACAGGAGAAACCACACTGCAGAATAGATCTTGGTTTTATTTGGCTCTGTCTTCCAGTTGAATTTGTGTCTTCCCCTGTCTCTGTCAAGTGTACTCAGACTCTTCTATTTTATACCACCAAAATTCTACAGTATCTACAAAGTGAGAAAAAACTGAAAGCAGTTCTGGTTTTCTTTAATAATGGCAAAAAAAAAAAAAAAAAAAAAAAAAAAAGATTTGTAACTTGCTATTCATCAATGCACTATTTCCAGAATTCTAAGTATTCGAAGCATAAAGTAGGGTAATTTCAGTGAAAATCTAAATACTGTAATTCATAAGGTAACTATTACTTCATATGCTCCTCTCTGTTCTGCTTCATCCTGTCTTCTGGTGTAAGCTTAAGATTCAAATCATTTTTAAAAATGCATTTTCTTTTTTTTTTTTTTTTTTTTTTTTTTTTTTTTTTTATTAAAAAATTTTTTTTTTTTTTTTTTTTTCTTTTTCTTTTTGTAGTTACAGATGAAAAGTATGCCTTTATTTTATTTATTTTTTATGTGATGCTGAGGATTCCAGTGCCTCACAAGTGCTAGGCAAGAGCTCTACCACCAAGCTACAGCTCCCAGCCCAAAAATATGCATTTTCAACCAAATGTATCATCTGCTTCAACAAATTCCTTCCAAATAGGTGAATTTTCATTTAATAGAATAAAAGATAAACAATTTCAGAAACAATATACCAAAAGTTTTATTTTGATTGTTAAAAAAATAATAAAATAAAACGGAAAGATTATCCTAATCTAGTCCCTTAGGAACAAGAATACCCACCCAATGGAAAAAAAAAAAAAAATTCTGCTGGTTCACTTCTCCGCTACACAACAGCTTCCTTGTCAGGCCATTCCTAGCCTAGTCTTCATAGTAACCTAGTAATCTTATATCGATCGCCTTGACAGATTTGAACTCCAGCGGGTATAGTCTCTATCTTTATATTCTTAGATGGGGAAAATAAGTAAAACCCTAATGAACACCAGGAAAATAGATTATGAGACAAATCTGTATGTGATATATAAATCCCACATCTTCCCGCCCTGTGTTTGGCAGCTGCTAATATTCCCTGCTCCCTTGTAGAAAATGTAAGGGAACCACACCAAAATCCTACATTTGAATCTGAGGACAATGAAGCCCACAGGAAGCTACCCTCTCCTTCCCCGGGTTTACTACAGAGCCTCAGCCTACGCGGGGTGCAAGTCGCCTGGCTGGGTGCATGACACCACGTCTTCCACGCCCTCCCGACACGTCCAAAAGGCTCCCCGTGTGACCTCCCCTAGCCACCTCACACCCCGAAACCAAACATACAAAAGGGATGGGCACACAGGAAAAAAATCCCTTCTCCAGCAGCAACGCAGCCATTGCCTACAAAGCTCCCCCCCACATCCTTCGCAAACTGCTACGGCGGAGGGGAGGGCTGCACAAAGAAGGGAGGGACCTGAAAATGATTCAATACACTCAGGGGAAGTGGACACGGTGGCGATGGGCCAGAGAAGGCCAGGGGCCTCAGAACTGGAGGCCGGGGGCAGCGACGGGATGGGGGATGGGAGCCCCGGGTCAGGGGCGGTGGTGCTGCACCGAGCATCCGGGAAGCACCCCCTTGGCAGGCGGCCCCGCATCAGGCTCAGCCGCGGGCCGCGCCCAGAGTCCCTGTCAAGTATCCGTGGAGGAGGAGGAGGAAAAGCCGCTGTAGTGGCTTTGGCGGCGCCGACACCCAGTAGCCCGACGCATCACTTACCCCTCACCGTTGAGAGAGGGACCGGACGGGGGAGGCGGGGCGCGTTGCGTCCCGTGAGTCGCTAGCACGCCGTCCTCCCCCCACCCCGTCGTCGTCGTCGCCGCTGTCGTCGTCGTCGTCGCTGCTGCCGCGGCCGAGCTCCAGGCCCCTCAGCTCCGCTGGGCAATAACGTTATTCTACACACGCCCCACACATAGCGGTAACGGCAAGAGCGGGCGCTTAATGCGCAGGCGCCTCGGGAAAGGGCGAGGAGCCAGGCCCTATCCTCTCAAGCCCTGTCCCAACGATTTCTTACTGCGCAGGCGCTAAGCCCAGACAATGAAAAAGGGTTGTGCAGAGGGTCTCACCCACACTCTTCCCTGACTGCACAGTGCGCAGGCGTGCCCCTAAGACCAGCTGGAACAATGAAGAGGACCCTGGCAATAGCCCGAGCTGCAACCTACAAGGACTACAGTTCCCAGCCGGCGGTGCGCCAACTCCAAGTGGAGGTCGCGTTGCTAGGCATGCTAGTAGGTGTAGTGTTGGCTGCCAGAACGGAATAGGCAGGAAGTTTTTTGAGGTTCTCCTTCTTGAGGGTGTATTTGACTTTTGGACAATGTGGCAAATGAACAGTGCCCGGAGCTTGTTATTTGCGTACTTGAGAAGGCTGAGGGATCAGCTGCAAGGCGGCACACGTTGAAGTGTCAAGGCCTCAGGGGGCCTTTTCAGTCCCTCGGACAGTCCCGACCTCAGAAGGATAGGGAGGAGGAGGGACTAAACAAGGCTGGGCTAGAGGAAAAGGGCGGAACCTCCGAGTCGGTCTCTTGGCAACCAACGCCGGCAGCCAAATGGTCGAGGTCGGCGCCCAGTGCGCGGTGCCCTCTGGGGGTTGTAGTGTAGTTAGAAGGCTCCTAGGGTTCTCGAAGCAGCGGGCCCTTAGCTGCGAACTACAATTCCCGACGTTCGCTATGAAGGACAGTGGGTAGGAAGAGCCCCCGGGAGCTCCGTCCGGGGTTCCAAGACTCCCCAGTGACAGCAGCGGCAGGAAGCAGGCGGGCGTTCAGCCGGCGCTAGGCCTATTCTCTGAAGGGAGTGCGCTGGACATTTCCCTGCGTAACTCCCATCTCTGGGCCCAGAGTCTGTGCATGGCGGACTCCCCAGGGAACTCTACCCTGGAGGAAATTCTGGGGCAATATCAACGGAGTCTCAGGGGTGAGTTGCTCCAAACCTCTGTGCCTAGCCCCTAGGTGCCCAGGTCGTTAGTGGGCGGGAGCCGACCTGGTGCCTTTCATAACACCTGGTTTGGGCTCCAGCCAGGCTGCGAAGGAAGAAGACGAATGTTGCTCTGATATTGAGGAGGATGAAATAGTGTGACATTGTTTTTACGGCTAAGCAACCTTGTTTCCTTTGATTTCCATAGTTACCAGAACCAACAAGGTGGACTGATCTTGACTTGGCGTCTTTCTCAGTCAGTGCCAGCAAAAAGTCTTGGACAGCTCCGTCCCTTTTTTGCCCAGTTCCCATGTTTTGATGTTTGATCCAACATATTCCTGATTCACACTTTTTACACATTCAAATAATGGTGTAGTGGGTTGACTGTTACTTATGGGACCAGAGAAAATAAACGTTATTTTAATCACAGTAGCTTCTACTTATTGGTCTAGCCCACTTACATACAGTATCATTTAAAACTTAAAATAATCTTATCTGTGTATCCTTATTTTACACAAGAGGAAATTGAAGCTCAAAAAGTTTAAATTATAGGCCAAAGCCCACACAACAGATTAGTGGCAGAGCCAGATATTAAATTTAGACCTGTCTGCTTTCAAAGCCTATATTTTTCTTTATTAATCAAGTCATAATTACTGTTATTGAAATCACATTTAACTAATGCATATTTTCTTAGTGCAGTACCTTATGAACAATTACCCTTAGAAGTGTTGTCCATATTTGCAGTTTGTAATCTTACACAATGTCTACAACCTCTGGAAATCTCCGTTCTGTGTTTTGGAAGCTATAGTATTATCTGCACGTTTATTATGAGAAGCAAATGAAATAATCCACATAAAGCAATGATTTTCAAACTTTATAAAAAAATGTTACCCCATAAAAAGAAATATATTTTCAGGGTTGGGGATGTGGGTCAGTTGTGGAGGGCTTGCCTGGTATTTATGAGCCCTTTGGTTTCATCCCCAGCACCACATACACGCACAATTATGTGGACATATACATGTAAACAAAAAGAACAATTTCACTAAAGATGTTTTATTCTAGTCGATATAATATACTTTATTTCCTATTCTGTTGAACTTTCAAACCACCTAGGTCATAACTAACATTTACAAAGATACTTAAGGCATTTAGAACCCAATATACTCAGAAAATATTAATTCAGTGCCCCACTATGTGTTAGGCATTCTAGGTGCTGATTTGCAATATGGAACAAGATCAAGTCCCTATCTCTATGGGTCTCTGGATTAGTGGAAAAGAAAGTAAAATAATTATAGATTATTATAATTGAAATTATAAATATTATATATATATTTTTTAGTTACTACAATTGAAAATGCAGTAAGGATCAGTGCTTGGCACATTAACTGCTATTTATGTTTGGTACATGGCAGTGAAATGAAGATTTTTCAAGAAGATTGGAAAGTTAATCTTTTCATGACTCTAAGCTTTATAGGGTTATTATTTATTGTCTACATTTGTCAGTAATGCAACAAACTGTCAACATTCTCAAGTATTCAAAATGCAGGAGTAAAGGAATTGGTCTTAATAAATATTTTCATCAGACTACTGGTAGTTTGAAGAGCTATTAGATATTGAAACAGTATTTCATTTGTAAGCAAGAAAAATATTGTGCACAATGATATGAGTGATTTTATTTGATTTTTTAGATTAGTAAACATTTTCTGTTTTCCATTATGTTTCTTTTAACCTTATTTAAAGGTTTATTATGTTTCTTTTATTATGTTTATTATGTTTTTTTTAACCTCTCCTTTGACCTTATTTTAAAACTTTTTGTAATCCCTGGAGGAATTTAATGTAAGACATTTTGATGCAGTAAAGTGGTTAAATCAAGTTAATTTTACAATAACATCTATAATAGCTTTGGATTTTTTTTCCATAATTATAACAAGGAAGAGTTTTCATTCAAAGATAATGTGTGTGTGTGAGATTTAACCCAGGTGCACTTGGCTACTTTTCTACCCCCATTTTATCTTATTTTTTTGTTTGGCCTTGCTTTTGTTTTTGTTAATTTTTCTATTTGTTATTTTTAGATGTACATGAAAGTAGAGTATAAGTTGCTTAGGGCCCTGCTAAGTTGCTGAGGATGGGCTTCTCCTCTCTCAGCCTCCCCAGTGATTGAGATTACAGGTGTGTGCTACTGGCCCAGCTGTCAAAGATAATACATTTTTAAATAAATTTTAATTTTAATAACAATATAAGGATAGTCCAAGCATTTCACTACTACTAAAAAGGGATAGAAAAAAGGTAAACAATTAAAAGTTTTTAGCCATAATTTTAACAATGAATTAAAAATGGAACCTGAATTTTTAAATGGGTTTGGGATATATTATTTATATAGCATTTTTCTTTTTGTAAGTTTCTAATGTGTAACAGCTTCTAGAAGAAAACAAAACCCTGAATTTAAGCACAATCAAAAATTCTTCACAAGTGTAAACTACCACTTTTAAACAGAATAATTCTCTTTAAAGTAAAATTTTGTGTTTCTAAATAATCAAAGTATGGTGCATTCAGTATATGGAACTTCATTATGTTGAGTGTTCCCAATAATTTAAAAATTCTGTTACCAAAATGTCTTGTCTAATTCATGCTTAATGGAAGGCTAATAATAAAGTGTTGGGAATTTCTTACTACTTATTCCTGTGATTTTGAAATAACTATATATAATCATTAATAGTATCTTTTCATTTTATTCACCAGAAAGTTACATAAAAATGCAAAATGCTTTTATAATTTTCCATGATAGTAATTCAATTTTCTTATGCTTTGTTCTAATTCTTTACTTTAAATATAATTTGGGCATTATTATGGTATATTAAGTGTTTGGAATACTGATGTGAAAAAGCAGAGCCAAAGTTGACTTTCTGGCTTTTAAAACGTTAGTGGAATTCTTACCTCTCTTTGACTCCAGTGATGCTAAAGCATCTATGGAAATAGGAAGCCCATGTACAGACTCCACATTTATCTCTCATCCTTTTCTTTACACTTTTCAGATGTTTTCCCTTTTGAGCCTTCCAAAAATCTCTGTTGTTGTCGTTTGTTTGTTTAAAGATCTTAATTGACTTTGCATTTATAAAATTGGGCAACACTCCGTTCCATAAAATAGATTGTGTCCCCAGATTGCTCTTGCTTTGGTTTGACTGTGACCTTTCTGCAAGAAATTAGAGAAAATAAACTGACTCTCTTTCAAAATGAGAGTCCTGGTAGAAAAACTGGAAACCTTCATTGCCTGACAGATTCCTTTTGGTCATGATCCAGTGTGATAAGAAGTGTACATATTCCTGATATCTTAGCAACCACAAAGTTCAATGTAGAATTAGAAGTAATTTGGGAGGTCTTCTGACAGTATGATTATGTGTTCATTTACTCTCTAGATAGACATAATTCAAGATCCACAGAACAATTTAAGAAATACATTTATAATTGGGGAGGATTGCAAATTACCTTCTTCTAATTTAAATTCAAAGAATCGTTGTATCAGGTCATACAGTATAAAATATACTAGTTTATAGTCAAGAAAAACCTGAATAAAAGACAACCCATGCTCTGTTTTAAGTTCTGCACACTTTAGCATAGGAACCTGATACTAGAAAGAATAGAAATTGCTAGAACACAGTGTTCTAACCTTAATAATAGAATCATGTCTTGCCTATTGCTTCTTTGTTAGGTAATGGGTATAGCTTTATCAACAACACCTATGTTCATGACTCACCTATTCAAGTAGTAAGTACCTAGCCACTTGTGGTTGAATGGATAGGCATAAATGGAAATGAAACAAACTTTTAATGTGACAGGAACACATAGTTTTTATATACATTCTGTATACTAGTTCTTTCTTTCCTTTCAACACTTTGATGTTTCAGCCTCTAGATGGAATTTGTGGCAAAAAGTATGATGGATTCAGAGAAGAGAATGTGTAGCAAGAAAGCAGGTCACTTACATTACTGTTACTTTGCTGATAACCACCTATGTGACCTTGATCTACTTGATTCCATTATCCCAAATGTAGAATTCCTTATAAAAACTTACATCAAGCAACAAATATACCACATATGGTAATTTTGAAGTAATTCTGTTCACAAAATCAAAAACTTGGGACGTAACAGGTTAAACAAGTTCTTAGATTCCTGTTTCCTCATCTGTAAAATGAAAAGTTTGGACTGGATATGAGAACTATTGCCTTTTAGGAGCCAAGCAGATGACAAAGCATTGGAGTGAAGGAGTCAGTGGAAGACACTTGGGAAAGGTGAGGCTTATGGCCAAACTGGACAGTTTATGCTTTTTCTAAAAACATTCCAATTTCTTTTTTGCTTACTTCCTTTATTCTTCTCCCTTCCTCCCCCTCTTTTTCCAAAAAGAGTTCCAAGCAAAAAACACTGAAGAGCCTGTTTTGCCCCTGTAGGGATTACTCTCTGACCCCTGGATCACTAATGTCCTTTCCATTAACACTCGGTTGGACTATTTCTCTCTTACAAAATGAGAGTAAGGAGTCGAACTAAGTATATTGAATGGTGGTGAATATGAGAAGAAAATACATAATCTTGGGGAGTTTCCTTTTCATTGTAATTTACTTTAGTTCAAGAAAACTGGAGATAATGTTGTTATTCTGTGTTTTCCCTGTATCTGATTGGCATATATCTCCAGATCCTGCAAAGTGTTTTCCTCCTGCCAGAGAAGGGGTTATATCTTGTACAAGGACTATGTTAATCTTACTAGCCAAGAATTTAGCTAGTGTATTAGCCAGCAGTGATATCATCTGGACCTTTAGCAGACTTAAGAAAATGGGTATAACTTAAGTGAAGTCCTTTTTCTGATATGTACTCATAGAACTTATTTTTCTCTTTTCTCAATATTTTTCTTTTCTTAGATATCTTGCATATGCTTTGCCACGTAATGTGTATGCATATACACATATAAGGATTGGTATTTGTTTATAAAGCTTAAATTTTATATCATTTTTATATCTATTCATTGGCTTTTTTAGTAGTTTTATGACCTTTTATTTTACTAAAACAAAAATACAACAGAAAAATCCCATATTTCTTTTTCCACACTAATGAGATAAAATAGGCAGAAGACAGGATTTGTCAGGCAGAAAAGAATGTTTTACAAATAAGTATTCCTTCCTGGAATATCTAGAACCAAAATTTTGATAAAGTGTTATGAAATTGTAAGGGCACTTTCACGTGTTTTTGGGTAGAAATATGCACAAACTATTGAGATACTGAGAATAATTATATTCTCCCTTGGATGTGTAAAGACTTGCACTTCAAATACATCCCCATTTTGTGCTAAGATTTTCACCTTTTCATTTAGTGATAACTTTTTGGTGTCCATAGGTAAAGAAGGTAGCTCAAAATGCACATATACATGTGCCAAAGCAACCTTAATTATGATGGAACTTCATTAAGGCCCACTGGAATATTTAAAGCAATGGTCTTAAAGTAAAGTAAATATTGCATTGTTTTAGGCCTTGAAACAAAATTAAGTTAATATGAATTCTGAGCTCCTGATTACAGTGTATATAACACCTATCCCTGCCAACTATATAAGAAGTATCCCATCATGACAACTGTGGTGGAGTAACTCATTGCTCTGCCTTTTCTTCATGAAATGGAAGCTACAGTTACAATATAATAATGTAGTGACTGTAATGGAATTATTTTCTCAAGACTGAATACTAGCTATCTTGTTTTATTGATGTCAACCAATGATTCTCAGTCAGGGTCAATTTTTCTACCAAGCAAACATTTAGTATTGTCCAGAAACCTTTTTTTTTTTTTTCAATTTTATTGTTACTATTGGGGGTAGAGGTGAGTGCTACTGACAGCCAGTGCATATAGGCCAGGGATACTGCTAAACATGCATAACCTAGCTCCTTACAAAAAGGATTATCAGGGTCAAAATGTCAATAGAACTGAGGTTGAGAAACCATGATCTAGAAGTAGTTAAGACTTTGCTCGTAGCCATGGTTCTACAAGACTTATAGTTTGGTGTAATTACAATTAAAGATACAGATTGTATTGGCTGGTGATGTTATTCACATTCTTCTGTCAGTCTAGCTAGAATTCTTTATCAGTGGAAGTGACAGGTGCATAAGTCTTCTCAGTTGGTGCCAAAGAAATGTCAGGTGTATCCTTCAGAATGGATATCACCAATCTCATGGGATTTCCCAACTCCCCTACATCATTAATGATCTTCTAGACACTATTTTTTTAAAAGATTCTACATTCTTGTTCAGATTTTCTCTTACTATTGGTGCCAACCACTTTAAGCACGTTTTCAACTATTACAGTATTATGATAGTATTTTCTTTGAGATTTTTTTTCATTTATCTGTAGTACTTAATTATTATCTTTCACTATTGCTGTTTACAGAGCTGACTTTGTCTGACTTTTGATTATGCTGTTTTTACCTTGGTTTTGCTATCTGTCAGTCCCTTAGAAAACCGTTACGGCAATCTTCCAAACTAGGATGTGGCCCCATTATGTGTAGACAGACACATGTTTCTCTTATCTAGCTATGGTTTCATTTTTCTGCCATCTGCCCTTGTCTAAGCTTGTGCCAGGAACTGCTGTGTATCTTATATGTCAGCCTAGGGAATGGTTCATTGCTTGTTTTCTCAGAGACAGCTGGGTACTTCATAGGGTTGGTTCCCTCTCCCTGTCACTAGGGTAATTCTCTTACACATCTCCCAAGACAGATGGAGAATGTAGAAATTAATAATTCACTATATGAATATAGTTGGTGATCCTTCTCAGACTGAGAAATTTTTACATTTTGTTCAAAAACATCTTGATGAAGAAAAGCTCAATGGTGAGCTGGGAATTAGAACATAGGAATAGGGAACTTGGACTAAGAAAGTAACTAAGAGATTAAATTTACAGTCATTAGCTCAAGAACCTTTTTAAGTGTTCATTGTTCTGATTGATGTTTGGATAGTGGAGTAATAGAAATATTATTTACTTGCACTTAAGTTTATGTGATCTGTAAGACTCAGAGGGTTTGTTTGTATTTCTGTTTATAATTAAGTTTATATTTAGCCTATTGGTGCTGGGGAGAAGAAATCAGATCATTTGGAAATACCCTACTGTCCTCTCAGGAGAGAAGAGGAAGTCAATGTCCTTTCTATCTCGGTTAGATAAAGCTGTGCCCCATTAGCAGTGGGATAGGAAATGATAACTGGAACCTCCTGTTAATCTGGTTTCCTTAAGTCTAAACAGAAAATAACTGCATTTATGGAATAGTGTTCATAATAAGGCTTATGGAAGCTTCAGATTAAATGGCTCCAGTAGACAAGCAATGGAATTTCATCCATCTTGAATCATCTTAGAGTTACAATTCTTCAGGATTAACTATTATTCATACTTTATAATTATGTGGATGTTGCTGTGTATAGGTTTGAAAAATGTATATATATATACATATATATATATATATATATATATATTTTAAAATGTTGTATTTAAATAATTTAAAAGTTATCATTTACATCTTAGTTTTGGGACAGGGTCCTTTGCAAATTCCTCTTCTTCTCTGACCCTCACAACTGAGTCAATAGTTGCAAAAAAAAAAAAAAAAAACCCAAAGCTATGTGTATCACTTTCCTTTGGGATAGTTGTTGAATTCTATATCTCATTATTTTCACTGTACAGTCTAGGATGTCATCTTTTAATATTATGAATTTCAAAATACCAAACAAGAATATTAGAAAAAAAGATTTAAAGGGCCCTTAAAACACTGCCATCATTGTAATCTGAAAGAGCTCTACCTGTAGGGATTTTCAATTCTGTGATTTTTATTTCAGATTTTCTTTCTTTTTCCTAATATAGTTTATTAGCTTTTAGTTAGACCAAATATAAATAAACAATTATCCTTTGTTTTAGAAGTGAAGTCATTTTGATGGCTCCATGGAGCATACTTTTAATGTTAGTCAAATCCTCTGTTTCCTTTCTAATGGATGCAATAACAACAGTGCTTTATTCATAGATTTAAGTCTCTTTAGAAAATTCTGAGCTGCTGGAACCTGTTGCTGTTCCTTATATTGAGAAAACTAGGAATACTTCTTATCTGCGCTTCTTTAAATTCAGGATAAGTAAGAAGAGACCATACTTGGTTAGTAATCAGCACCAAGTTTGTGTTAGAAAAAGATCTATATATAAATAGAGAAATGTAGAGAAAATGTAATGATAAATTCACAGAGTCTCTTGTGTAATTAATAAAGAGAATTTCATTGTTAGACTGAAAGACCTGTTTTCTTTAGATTAATCAAGGTAGAAAATTACTTGCTGTAAGTCAAGAAACTCTACTACTTCTCTATTAATTAATATCATTATGTTTTTCTATTTTAAACCTGAAAATGAATGAACTTGGAGAAAAAGAAATTTGTTTTTCAAGGTTCTGTAAAATATATGTTAATAAATGTGCATTCATACATGAATCAGATCTTTTTTCCTGCCATTGTACTTAAATGGTTGCTGACACTGGAGTCCTCTAGCAGTTACACTGGACTGTTGGGGTGTAGAGTGATGGAGGTGAAGGGCATCTCTCCTTCTCCATGTAGTCTCAGAGCCTTTCCTCTCCATGTGGCCTCTTCTCAGGTCTCTTCAACAAGATGAACAGTTCCTAAAATCAAACATTCCAAGATCAAGGAGACAGCAGCTGCTAATCCTTTGTAAAAAAAGATGGGGCCTGGGACTTTCATGGTGTAACTTGTGCTGGTTAATACAAGTTATAGGCCTACTCATTTTCAAAATATAAGGGCACAAGGAAGTAAGCCTGGGTTCTTGAAGGAGATGAATTATCAAAGAAACAAGTGTTATGTGCTACCATGTTTAAGCTTCATTTCGAGGGGTTATACTAACCAAGAATGTGAGTACAATACATAAGAAACACTATACAGTATGAATTGCCACCATAATCACTTCAGCTGTACAAATCTTGATTTAAACTGAGAAACTGGAATAAGTAGTTCATTCTTTTTCTTCCCCCCGCCCCACTCCCCCGATGGTGGTACTAGGGATTAAACCCAGGGGCACTCTATCACCGAGCTACATCCCCAGTCCTTTTAAAATTTTATTCTGAGACAGGATCTCACTAAGTTGCCCAGGTTGGCCTTGAAACTTTTGATCTTTCTTCCTTGACCTCCCAAATAGCTTGGAATATATCTGTGTGCCACCATGCCCAGCTAGTTTATGTCTCTTGGTGAAGCAAGGGCATCAGGTCCTCAGGGATAATGGGGCTTCCCTAGGTCAGAACTTAGTGTTACTGAGTTCCATTGACTGGTTCTGCCCAACTCACCCTTCTATTTCCAGGTAGGGTAGGACAGTATTAAGCACTGAGAGGAAGGAGAACACATCTCCAGATCCCCAGGTTGGTTATTGCTTGAGAGTGGGGAAACTGCCATTTGACCCTCCAAAACTATGCTGGAGGTGCTATATATAGTGAATATCAGAGGGGGCTGGGAATGAAGCTCACTCATAGAGGACTTGGTGAACATGCTTGAGACCTTGGGTTCAATCCCCAGAACTAAAAATATTAAACAAAAAACAAAAAAAGAAATCAACAATTGCAGTTACAGCGACCATTAAGACTAACCTCTAATCCATGAACTTAATCTTCTCTCACTTTCTTTGGCACAATCTTCAGCAGACTAGAAACAAAACTCTCCTCTTTCCATTGAGTACCAGAAATAGTTGATACTTCTTTCAAGACTGCTATCTTGAACAAGTGTCCATGTGACTGCTCACATTTTACCGGCCTTGATTTTCATCAGATGTCTGTTTGCAGAACGGGCCAGCAGAAGCATTCACCAACTGAAATGTGCCCTGAGAGAAGGTGATGTCACCATTGAAGAAGAAGCACTGGATCCTTCCTTTAGCACCAATGTAGGAATTGAGGACCCTGAGATAGCCTGGCATGAACTGCAACATAGCCATGCCGGTAAGTAATAATGTCAGTCCTAGCCTAAATGACACATAGTAAGTACTTTAAACTCTACAGAATACTGACTCCATCCCATCCTCCACTCTGCTGCTAGGATGTTATTCCTGAAACACAAATCAGGTAATACAGTTTCTTCACTAATTTTTTTTTTCTTTTTGACTTCCTAATGCCTATAGGCTAAAGTCCAAATATCTTAAGATGAGATAACAATATTTTGCTTAGAGAGCTGCAACCTACATTTCCAGTCTTATTTTTCTATACTCTCATCCTAACCATCCCTCTCATAAACCATAATTTAGGCATACAAACCTCCTAACTATGCCTCTGTACTTTTACACATGTAATGCATCCTAACTAGAACTTTTCTCCCCCTTTCTTGCTTGGTGAACTCCTGTTCACCTGGACAGCATTAGCTTCTCTGTGAAAACAGGCACAATTATGTGTGTCCTCTTGTAACACTATGAATAGTTCTAAGTCTATATCCAAACTTGTTTTATTGTTCTACGTCTATTAGTCTATATTTTTTGCTCACTGAATTTTAGCTCTTAAGGGGTATCTTTGTCTTTGTATCCCAAGTCAATAGCACAATTTTTGATGCATAATAGAAATTTAAGCAATGTTTGTTGGATGAATCAAAGAATGGGTGGATGATGATAAGTTGTTAATCAACTTTCTATTACTATAACAAATATCTAAGCTAAATAAACTTATAAAGTAAAAAGATTTATTGTGACTCACAGGTTTGGAAGTTTCAGTCCATGACTAATTGGCCCCATAGTTTTGTTCCTGTGTTGAGGCAATACATCAAGGTGGAAGTACCTGGAGGAGCAAAACCTGCTTGCCTCATGGCAGGGAAGTAAAAAAGAGAGAGAAAGGAGTTTGAGTCCCACTATCCTCTTCAAGGGTAACCCTCCAATGACAGAAAGACTTACTAGTAAACCCCACCTCATAAAGGTTCCACTACCTCCCAGTAGCACTGAGCTCAAGACTATGCTTTAAACACATGGCACTTTGGGGGACATATAAAATCAAAACTATAGCATAAACCATGGTCTCAAAGTCAATGAATTCATTTGCTTTTGCTCTGTAGTTAAACAGCTCAAAGCTATGTTGCATCAGCAAGCAAGTAAGGAAAATGAGATATCTCCATCAAGAAAACAAAAAATGCCCCCTTTGGTGAGTATCACCTTTTGTAACCTGACAAAAGTTTTCTAACTCTGTTTTGTTTTTATGTCATTTTAATAGCATATGCTATAAGCAATTCTGATCATGCGTATAGTATAAAGCATTTGAATAAATTATTTCCCATCTGACTATTTTGACTAAAGAAAAGAGACTTACATATCAGAGGTAAACCTAATTTTCTTAATTTATTATTTTCTTAAAAAATGTGAAAAACCAAGGTGCACTGGTGCACCCCTGTAATCCCAGCAATTTAGGCTGAGGCAGGAGGATCTCAAGTTTAAGGCTATCCTGGGCAACTTAGCAAGACCCAGTCTCAAAATTTAAAAGCACTGAGGATATAGATCAGTGAAAGTGCATCTGGGTTCAATCCCCAGTACTGAAAAATTAATAACAATAGTAATAAGAATAAAAATAAAAGAAAGGAAGGAGGAATGATAGAAGGAAGGAAGGAAGGAAGGAAGGAAGGAAGGAAGGAAGGAAGGAAGGAAGGAAGGAAGGAAGGAAGGAGATGTGAGAAAGAAACAATTTGGAAAATGTATTTTGGAACTGTTAGTGCGCACTCATGTGTGTGTGTGTGTTTGTGTGTATGAATATGTGAATGTATATATGACAAATGTAAAAGTAAAATATTTGAGTTATTTCTTCTTTAGAGAATCATGTCTGTATTTGATCATTTAAGATGTTACTTAATTATGATCTTAACACTCTTTTATGATACTTTCAATTTGAATGTCAAAAGTAAAGTGTGTTACATTATCCTACATGTTAAAATATATAGTTATAAAAGAGTGTGATATGGGGGATGCGGCTGTCCTTCAGTGGCAAAGTGCTTATCTTGCATTTGTGAGGCACTTAGTTCAATCCTCAGCACCACACAAAAATAAATAAAAATATTGTGTCCATCTACAACTAAAAAAATATTTTTTAAACAAGAGTGTGATATGAGAAGTCATGCTGTATTCTGAGATTGATTTTTATTTTTGAATACAGTGTATTATTCCTTATTGAAATATTTTATATGGTAAAGGCTGAGATAGGTGTGAGGGAAGGATGAAGACCAGGTCAAAATAATGTCTAGGCCTTAGATCTAAAAAGGGCCTATCACATTCTCTCTCTAAGGATATTGTGCCTATTTCACAGACTTTTTGAAATAATAAAATAAGATTATATAGTTAGAATTCTTTAAAAATATTGAATTATGAAGTATGACATAAATGCAGTAATAACCACCTTTCTTATTTTCCTCCCAATGGTACTGGGACATTCCACCACTGAGCAACAATACTAGCTCAGTAAGTTGCCACGGCTGGCCTTAAATTTGCAATGCTTCTGCCTCATCCTCCCAAGTGGCTAGAGTTACAGATGTGCACCACCACTCCTGGCTCAACTTGAATTTTCAAATTGTGTAATAGTTGAATAAAAAGCCTACATGCTGTAAACTGTACAGATGTGTCACTTTCCTTTACTCACTGCTGAAAATGTTATAATAGTACCCCCATATTAGTACTTCATTCCATCTGATACATACTTATGTGCTTAATTCTTACTTTAGAGAAATGTATTGTATATACATTGTTAATATTTATAGATAGAGGTTATAATTTTAATAAAACATTTTATTATTCATTGAATTTATTACTGTTGACATATGGTTTCGAGAATGCTCTTAAGCAATAGTGGGTGGGATGTTTTTAAATTTATTAGATGAATTTGCTGTATCTGTTTAATGTTCACACATGCTTATTCAGTTTTTAAAGATAAAATTGAGCAGTGATATTATGGAGTTTATTGAATCAGGATAGGCAAAAAACTTTAATCAAGAGAATTTGCTTAGTATACAAATTGTTTACAAATACACTGGTCTATATATATGAAGATATATAAAAGATTGGTACTTAGACTCTAACTGTATTCAGTCTACACGTAATGATTATAAGCCATAATAATAATAATAATAATATACTTTTTAATATTGTAGCTTTAGAATGCAATTTCATAGCCAGTATAATATATCAGAAATATATGGGTGTATTGAGAGTGAAACTGAGGTATTGTTGAAATGGAAAGTATATCTAGATATTATTACATTTTATTGTAATATGTGGATATCCAAACTACAATAAGCCTGTCAAAGGATGTACAGATTGTTTGTGAACATTTTCCACATAGTATTAACTTGAATTTAAAAGATTCTTCACATTGACTTTTTCTTATGTATGCATAGGAACGAATACAGATGTCTCTCCATATCCTTGGGGATTAGATCCAGGACCCCTCTTTCGATATCAAAATCCATGAATATTCCAATCCTTACATAAAATAGCATACTATTTTCATATAACATATTACATTTGCCCATATACTTTAAATCACCAATGGATTACCTAAAACAATGTGATGCTATGTAAATACCTAAAACAATGTGATGCTATGTAAATAGTTTTTATGCTATACTATTAGGAAAAAATGACCAGAAAAAAAGCTCTGCACATCATTAGTACAGATTAAGTATGTTTTTCAAATATTTTTGATATGCAATTGTTTGAATCCTCCATGGATGTGGAACTTACAGACATGGAGGACTAACTGTACTTAATTCATATTTGCCTACATTCTGAACCTGTTTCTATTAATATAAAATGATTATAGGTCTGGGGTTGTGGCTTAGTGGTAGAGCACTCGCCTAGTACGGGCGAAGCCCTGGGTTCAATCCTCAGTACCACATAAAAATAAATAAATAAACAAACAAACAAATAAATAGAGATTATTGTATGAACATATATATGTGACAAATGTAAAAGTGTAATGTCTTAGTTATTTAGCTTTCTACTCACCACAGGTAGTTCGTTTAATTAATGTTATTTTAGCTGGGCATGAAGGCACACACCAATTCCAGTGACTCAGGAGACTGAGACAGGAGGATCTGAAGTTCAACAGCAATCTGAGCTACTTAGTGAGATCCTGTCTCATAGTAAAAAGGACTGGGGATGTAGCTCAGTGGTAGAACATCCATAGGTTCAATTCCCAATACTTCCAATAAGTAAATAAGTAAGTAAATAAATAAAGCTACTTTTGAGGCAGGAGATGCAGCTTAATGGCAGAGCTCTGACTTAGCATTCATGAGGCCCAGTGTTCAATTCCTAGAATCACAATACGTATATATGTACATACATACATACATAAAGTTTCTTTGTTTTTTAAATTTAATATACCCAAACATAAAGCTATTTTTAATTGATATTTGATTGTTCATAATTTTTGTTGAACTGAAAACCAGAATGATTGAGAAAGAAAGATTGTCCATTTCAAACTTTTCTCTTGTTTAACTGGTTGAACTTCATTTTTCCTTTCCCATATTTCTTCCTTTAAAAAACTTATTTTATAATATTCATTTAAAATAAGCTAAGATATACATTAAAAGTCAAATACTTTAGGGCTGGGGATGTGGCTCAAGTGGTAGCGCACTCGTCTGGCATGCGTGCGGCTTGGGTTCAATCCTCAGTACCACATACAAACAAAGATGTTGTATCCGTCGAAAACTAAAAAATAAATATTAAAAAAATTCTCTCTCTCTCTCTCTCTCTTTAAAAAAAAAAGTCAAATACTTTAGCTACAGAGCTAAATGGTATTAGAACTTTTGGGGGAATCTTTTCATTGGGCTCCTCAATGCAGTTTATCTCTGCTTTAGGGCTCTAGTCTTGGAGGTTCTATACTCGCCCCCCCCCCAAAAAAAAAGCACAGTTTAAAATTGCCTAAATTATAAAAAAAAAAATTTAAAAAAAAAAAAAAAAATGTTTTGCTGAAGTATCTTTTTTGAAATGGAATTTTACATTATTGACATACATTTGACCTCAAACATTTATCTAAAGAATCTCTTTCTTCAGTGAGCTAATCTACAGTTTCAGCTAGCAGTTCTCTTCCATGGCAGTTTCTTAGAGAGAGCTGTCCCTCATATCACAGCATTATTGAATAGGATTTTGTATTCAGTTCAAATAGGCAAGTCATTCTAAGACAATTATCCTACCCCAGCATCTTTACACTTTCCATTGCTTTTAATAACAATCTTTACTTTCTGTCTGTAAAAAATGATATTCATATCCCCTTGTCTTGTATATTTAATTTATAGAATAGAGAAATAAATACTGTTAGTTACCTTTGATCTCTGTTTACATCAAATATGTGCTGAATTAAATCTGGAGAAGGTATCAGCTGATTTTTTGCAAAATCCAAACATGCATAATTTACCTTTTTTTGTTTTAGAGATCATCAGAATATGAGGAAACTAATATGCCTACTGTACACAACCTTGTTCCTATCATTAATGACCAATCTCAATACATTCATCATTTAGAGGCTGAAGTCAAGTTCTGCAAGGTAAGTTCCCTTTAGAAATTTAATCTTACATAATTAAAGTTTATGTCAATTATGCCTTAAATAAGAATTTGCTATCATTAGTTTTCATGTTTGTAGCAGTCCATAGCCAATCGCTATTCTTATATTATTGAAAGACTAATGTAGTACAGGAACTTGTCTTCGGGATGATATTCTTGAACGTGCCATTTCTGATTGCTTAATTTCCCAGTACTATGTCTAATGATTTCACAATATGCTCTCATGTTTCAGAATTCCTCCTTTCCACTCCATTTACTTTAGCCTACCAGATGGCAAATACTTTGGAATACTAAGACCAATCATTCTCCCACAATTGTCAACTTATTGAAGCTGTGGTACAATAATTGAGGATTCTAAGCTGGTAGACCAAATCTGTTCCATTGTCACTCTTAAGGCTCTTACCTTGAACTTGATTAAGAGTGATTCATACTGAGTAATGATTAAGAAATTGAATATTACCCCATAGTTTGTGATTCTGAAGAGTTATATTGTTTGACTATTTGCAATTTGGTGATGTCATTAATTCCATTAGAACCTTTCTACTTTTTCAAGGTAATGTTAGCGTTTTAGTTTTTGTTTTGTTTTAGTTTTTTGTTCTCATTATTTTTTCCTTTTCGATTTTTGTATTATTTGTGAATCAGATGATGATTTTTATATGTAAAATATCTGTTACATATATAAAATAATTTTTTGGATATTGTCATTTTGGTGCTAAGGATTGAATTATGTGATATTTTATGGGAATTGCTGATATTTTTTGTATCATGTATTATATTTTTAACATTTTGATGCAAGACCAGTTTGTAACTTTTTTATTATTTATTTTACTTATTTTTTGATACTAGAGAGTAAACCCAGGGGCGCTTTACCACTGAGCTACATCCCAAGACCTTTTATTTTTTGTTTTGAGACAGGTCTTACTAAGTTGCTGAGGTTGGCCTTGAATTTGGCAGTACTCCTGCCTCAGCCTCCCAATGGCTGGGATTACAGGTGTGTACTGTCATACCCAGTAAGACCAGTATGTAACTTAAGGAGGCTTTATATGTTTCATGATCTTGATCTTACAAAGGAGTCCCTGATCTCAACATTTAGTTTTCTCTTTGTTTTTGAAGTACATGATCATTAATATTTAGGTACTCTTGGATTATCAGTAAAACCAAAATAATATCATAATAATTATTCCATTAGCAAGAATCTCTTGATCACTAAAGATACTATGGATAAAATTTAAAATATATAAAGAATAATAAATTTACCATCTAGTTGAAAAGACAAAAAACTATTACCTATGAGCACCATAGCAACATAATAGAGAATATATGTTGTCCTTTACTTCATGGCATAAACTTTAGCTATAATATGAGAAGAAGGATGCAAAAAGCTCATGTCTTTGGGAATATTTTTTATAGGAGACATGGATCTTGAATCATTCATTAAAGGAAACCATCTAGCTCAGCAGAAGGGAAGAGAAAAAGTTTTGTAAAGAACAGTAACAATTATATATTTAGGATTAGTATAGTTTGTTTGTAGGTCCCATGAGACATCTTTTCTGTCTTCCTACCATGGAGTATGTCTCATAGAAATAATGAAAATAATGCTGAACTGGAAAAATGGAAGATTATAGAAGACTTGAAAGTCAGATAAAGCATGGTTTTTAGACATTTTAACAAAGAAGGAATAGAAAGAAAATAACATTTAAAGATTTAGAAACAAGTTGTTTAATTAATTAAAGAAGTTGTTTAATTCACCTCTGGGTCTTTTTTTTTTAGATCAGTTTATGTTTATTGAAAAAAATACATAGAGTTTCCATATACTTCTCTCAATCAAAACTCTGCCCCACAGTTTTCCTGGTTATTAACATCTTGTCTCAGTGTGGTACATTTGTTACAACTGATGAACCAAAATTTTCTAGTTTATATTAAATTTTCCAGTTTTCATTAAAATTCAAGCATTATATTTTCTATGAGTTTTGAGAAATGTATAATGACACAGATCCATCATTACAGTACCATACATAGTAGTTTAACATTTCTTGTGCTTCACCTATTCATTCCTCCTTCCCTCCCTCTCTTAAAGTCCTGGGGTGAGGAGTGTGAGAGACACAAATGCCTAAGCCAGAGGTATCCCCTAATGCCTCCTGGGGGAAGGAGGGGGAAATTGGACCACTGAGTTTTTTGCTGAAGGAGGTTTTGCAGGAACCCAGTGGTCTACTACTCTGAATCATGACACTTTCAAACCTGGTCCCTACATGACTACATGCCATTGGTGTCACTCTAGGTCACAAGAGAGTGGGCTCCCTGAACCATTGATTCCTGAGGGCAGTGCTCTCTACTCCTCTCCTCTTTACATCCCATGCTCCCTGCAGCATAAAACTTTTATCATGGGGTTTGTGTCAGGAGATGCTCCCCCAAGCCAAGATTATCTCAGGTGCCTGTTGCCTGTCCAATCAATGGGGCCAACTGTCCACAAGGACCTGAGATGTGATTATGCCCTCTGGCTCCTAGCTATAGCATTCTGATAGTTTGCTGCAAGATATAGTACATTTCTTCTCTAAAGCTACCTTGCTGTGCAGACTGTAGGTCATGTGTATATGTAATCTGTCTGCAGAGTGCAGCCTTCTGCACCACCCTGTGATTATGACTCTTTCTCTTTCACCTGAACCCCTTGAAGAGTTCCCTGCCCTTGACTGAGGTACTAGACACCAAGTCCTGGATATTCTACTTGTTTTGTTGTTTTCCTCAGTCTCTGGATTTCAGCAGGTTTCATTTTTTCTGCTGTCAATTTCAAATGCTTTCCCATGAACACCCACCTCCACAGGCAGTTACAAACCTGTTGCTATGGTTCTTTCCTATGGTACAGCAGAGGTACCTCTGCTGGGTATTTATATTCAGCCCTCTACCAATCCATTTCTTTATATTTACATTGGGCTTCTTGAAGGTATTGTATACTTGAGGACTTTTTAAAAACCTCTTATGATATGTCTGTCTTTAAATTGTTATATTTAGAGATTTAAAATAATTATTGATATAGTAAGGTTAATATCCAACACTTGTTACTGCTCCCTTTTTTAGCTGATTTTTAAAAAAATAAATGACAGTGGAATGAATTAAAAATCTTATTACACATATACAGCACAATTTTTCATATTTTTGGTTGTATATAAAGTATGTTCACACCAATTCCTGTCTTCATAATGATGTCTATCACATTCCACCATCCTTGCTAACCCTTTGCCCCCTCCCTTTTCCTCCCTCCGCCTTGTCCTATCTAGAATTCATCTATTCCTCCCATGTTCCCCATCCCTACCCCACTATGAGCCAGCCTCCTTATATCAGAGAAAACATTCAGCATTTCTTTTTGGGGATTGGTTAACTTCACTTAGCATTTTCTTCTCCAATGCCATCCATTTACCTGCAAATGCCATGATTTTACTCTCTTTTATTGTTGCATAATATTCCATTGTGTATATATGCCACATTTTTTTACCCATTCATCTACTGAAGGGCATCTAGGTCAGCTCCACAGTTTAGCTATTATGAATTGTGCTGCTATATACATTGATGTGGCTATGTCCCTGTAATATGCTGTTTTTAAGTCTTTTAGGTATAGACTGAGGAGAGGTATAGCTAGGTCAAATGGTGGTTCCATTCCTAGTTTTCCAAGGAATCTCCATACTGCTTTCCATATTGGCTGCACCAATTTGCAGTCTCACCAGCAATGTATGAGTGTACCTTTTCCCCCACATCCTCGCCAACACTTATTGTTGTTTGTCTTCATAATAGCTGTCATTCTGACTGGAGTGAGATGATATCTTAGAGTAGTTTTGAATTGCATTTCTCTAATTGCTAGAGATGATGAACATTTTTTCATATATTTGTTGATTGATTGTATATCCTCTTCTGAGAAGTGTCTGTTCAGGTCCTGGGAAAACTGGAAATCCATATGCAACAAAATGAAATTAAACCCCTATCTCTCACTATGCACAAAACTCAACTCAAAGTGGATCAAGGACCTAGGAATTAAACCAGAAGAGACTCTGTATCTAACAGAAGAAAAAGTAGGCCCTAATCTGCATCATGTGGGATTTGGCCCCAACTTCCTTAATAAGACTCCTATAGCCCAAGAATTAAAACCAAGAATCAATAAATGGGATGGAATCAAACTAAAAGATTTCTTCTCAGCAAAAGAAACAATATGTGAGGTGAATAGAGAGCCTACACCCTTGGAGCAAATTTTTACCCCTCACACATCAGAAAGAGCACTAATCTCTAGGGTATATAAGGGACTCAAAAAGCTAAGCACCAAAAAAATAAATAACCCAATCAATTGCTCTCTTAATTGCCCTCCTTTGTTTCTTTTTTTCAACTCTCTTCATGTCTTCATTGGTTGTAATTGCTTATTTAATATGATTGCCTTTTTAAATTCTGTCTTTGCAAATCTATCAATTATACATTTTTTCCTTTTTATTTTTTTTTTAGTGTTTGCAATATGCACTTGCAAATAATCCATGTCTACCTCATAGGAAATGTAAGTCATTAAATAGCTGCTATTTGTCTCTCCTGTCCTTTAAAAACATTGCTATCATTCATTTCATTTATACATAAACTATAATTACCACTTTCACTGTTGCTATCCTGATGTTGAACAACTATTATCTGAAAAATTAATGAGAAAACTAAAATATTTATGTCATCTCCGTTTATTACTTCTCTAATACTCTTTCTTACAGTATATAGATGATAGGTTTCTGACCTAAATCATTTTTCTTCTTTGTGAAGAATGTCTTTTAACATTTCTTGCAAGGCAGGTGTATTATTAACAAACTCCCTCACAATTGTTGTCTATAAAAGTCTTTATTTTTTCCTTCCCTTTCAAAGGTTAATTTTGTTCAATACAAAATTCTAAGTTATCTAGGTTTTTATTTTTTTCCTTTAAACATTTTAAAAATTTAATTCTGCACTCTTTTGTGTTTACATAGTTTTGGAAAAGAAATAAGAAGTCTTATATAATTCTTATTCTTGCTTCTCTATTGGTAAAGACTTATTGTTATTATTATTAGTGGTGGTAGTTGTATTTGTTTTACATTTTTACTTTAGTTTCTTTTAAGATCTCTCTTTGCCTTTGATTTTCTACAGTTTGAATATAATATTCCTAGGTTTAGATATTTTTGGTGTTTATCCTACTTGATGTTCTCTGAGCTTCCTGGATCTATTATTTAGTGCCTATTAATTATTTAGGAAAAATTTCAGTCACTGTTGATACGAATATTTCTTCCATTCATTTTCTCTTTCTTCTTTTTTATATTCCCATTACACATATATTACATTTTTTATAATTGTACTGCAGTTTTTGGATATTCTTTTCTGTCTTTGGTGGGTTTTTTGTTTTTAATTTTTCTCTTTCTCTCTTCAATTTTGTTTTGGAATTTTCTATTGCCAGCTCTTCCCAGTTAGTAATTGTCTTCCTTGGCCTTGTTCATTCTATTGATTGGCAATTAAAGACATTCTTCATGTATGTTATTGTTTTTTATTTCTAATATTTACTTATAATTCTTTCTTAAAGTTTCCATCTCCACACTGACATCACCCACCTATTCTTACATGTAGTCAACTTTTCTCATTAAAGATTTTAGCAGCCAGGTGTAGTGGCACATGCCTGTAATCCCAGTGACTTGGGAGGCTGAGGCAGGAGGATCACATGTTTGAGGCCAGCCTCAGTAAGTTAGCAAGACAATCATCAACTTAAGGAGACCCCATCTCAAAATAAAAAGTATTGGGGATGTATCTCAGTGCCCCAGGGTTTAAATCCAGTACCAGAAAGGAAGGAAGGGAGGAAGGGAGGAAGAGAGGGAGGGGAATCTTAGCATAGTAATCTTACTTGTTTTAAAAGTCTGTCCCAACAGGGATGAGAGGTGGGAGGGAAAGGGAGAGAGAAGGGAAATTGCATGAAAATGGAAGGAGACCCTCAGGGTTATACAAAAGTACATACAAGAGGAAGTGAGGGGAAAGGGAAAAATAATATAAGGGGGAGAGATGAATGACAGTAGAGGGGGTAGAGAGAGAAGAGGGGAGGGGAGGGGAGTGGGGATAGTAGAGGATAGGAAAGGCAGCAGAACACAACAGACACTAGTATGGCAATATGTAAATCAATGGATGTGTAACTGATGTGATTCTGCAATCTGTATATGGGGTAAAAATGGGAGTTCATAACCCACTTGAATCAAAGTGTGAAATATGATATATCAAGAAATATGTAATGTTTTGAACAACCAACAATAAAAAATTAAAATAAAATAAAATAAAATAAAAGTCTGTCCTGATAATTTCAGCATCTCTGCCATGTCTGAGATTGGATGCTTATTCATTCTCTTCAAATTGTGTTTTAAGTCCCTTAGTACGCCTTGAAATTTTTAATTGAATGTCGGACATGATGTACTAGGTAATAGGAACTGTATTAACTAGAACTTTAATGTGAATTTTCATATTTATATGTCCAGAAGTTAGGCTGTTTTGACTGTTTGCTTTTGCCATACATTTCAGAGGTTAAGATTTCTTCCAGTATCCTGGTTTTTGTCTCCTTTGTGGTCTTTGGGTTTCCTTAGAAAATTCCTCTTAAATATAGTTCTTTCAGCTGAACCCCTCTGCTATAGTCTTATAAGATTAGGATGTTTAAAGATGGGATTGATGTCTTATAAATTCATTGCATGTAAGAATGAAAATTAGAACTCTAAAGATGTTTTTTAATTACAGCTTTGCTTTTTCTAAATAAAATAATTGGAAGGAATTTGCATATGTTATATACTAGTTTTTTATTATACTAGTAATGAATATTATTAGGATAAGTATTACCTCATTGATATATTAATAATTTTGCATATTTTTTCAGGTACCACTCAAGAGCTATTCTATTGTCATTTATTTATAATGCCTTATATTACACCCTGCAGGGTCAGAGGAACCCACCATACTGCTTTACTCATAATTCACTGCTATATGGCTACCAGTTCATAGATAATCATTGCCTCTTTCTATCCCTTTATCTCCAAGTTTTCTCCTTTTTAGTCCACACAAGTTATTGACATTTTATTATTAATAATATCATACCTTATTTTCAGCAGTGTATGTCATTCTTTAAAAACTCTTTGATAACTATTTTAATTAAGGCCTTTCTGTAAGCCTTGAATCCTAGTGATAAAAAAAAAATGTCAGAAACTGCAGGTTTGTGATATGGCCATCAACATGCCTTCAACTATACATTCCTGATATTCTCTCTGTTAGCTAATGTTTGGGTTACCTTTATTGTCTAAATATAATTGTAGTGTTTCTTCAATATTTCTATATTTTATATCATTCTGGATCCTTTAGTGATCAGTAAAAAAAAGCATTGTTTAAAAAGCCCATTCTTTTTGGTTTCTGTTTATAGGAGGAACTCTCTGGAATGAAAAATAAGGTACAAGTAGTTGAGCTTGAAAATGAAAGACTCCAGCAAGAAAGACTCCAGCTGAAATCTCAAAGACAAGAGGAGACAATGAGGGAACAAACACTTCTGGATGCATCTGTGAGAATTTTTTAAAAATCATAAATTCTAGTTTAGTTTGAATGTTCCTTTCTACCTTCTACCTTAGCCTTCTGAACTGCTTAGAATCTTTCCTTGAAGTTTGGCCAAAACATTATACTGGTATTTGCTTGATGTCTCAAAAATTAGAATTTACTAAGATGAAAGGTAACCTCAAATGAAGTAATGTAGCAATGCCTAATATTTATTCCAGTTCTTCTATGAGCATACTAATTATTATTTTTCCATATGGAAAGACTGGATCTGAAAGTAGGAAGTATGTTATGTAGGAAGACTTTGGTAATTCTGGAAACTATTCAGAATCTAACCTTAGATCTTTGATGGATTACTCTGAATTTTTCTTGAGCTCTAAAATCTAAGAAGTCTAATTAACAATATGATATTATTAATTAAGGGCCCATGAATCAAAATTAGTCTTTCAGTCATCCCTTAGGAACCATGTATTTAGCAAGTAATTTTACAGGGCTTTGCCTGACTTAACTTCATGTGTAATTCCTTTATTGATAATTTGAGAAGATTCACCTTTATCAAGTTGAGAATGCAGATTCCTGGGCTCTATCCTCTGAGATTCTGATAGTTGGTCCTGTTGGGTTCTAGGAATATGAATTTTTATCAAGACCTAAGTGATTCTAATATCAGTGGCCAACAGTTTAAAGAATAATAGATCACATGATTTCTTATAGTTCTGTGACAAAACTCTTGTGATGATACTTAAATAGTGTTTAAAATTAATATCTTCTTATAACTTGGAGGTACTGTTGCACTAAAAATGTTTTTCACTGTTGTTTTAGGACATAGTCAATGATTGTTCTGTTTTTTGAGGCAATTTCAACTGTCCGTGGGGAAGTTTTAATACTTGCCTATTTCAGCTTTGATGGTTTTAACTTAGTCATCATTTGTAAATCAGTTCTGTTAAGAGAAAAAAATGAGAGTCTTAATGTTTTACCTATGTATTCTTTTGTTTTTGAAATTTTACTTTGTTTTTTGGTATTTCATTTCTAATCTTTTAAAAGATATGTTAGAATTTGCTATGGCAATATATCTGATTATTAATTCTGAAAAGTGTAGTAGGCTTAGTAGTATTTCACTTAGTATTATTACTAATACTAAAGAGTCAGTTAGTATTAGTAAGTTTGTGCAATTACACTTAAGTTTGTGATCAGTTATTTTTCCCTCACTACTTTTCTGAAGATTTACATAATTGCTAATATTAGTGTTCAAAAACTCCATCTTATATTTTAATGTCAATTTGAAGAAGTTATCACCACACAAAAAGAACTTAGAAGTCGCTCATCTAAAAAATGAATGTATTCTTTTGCTTTCTTTCTAAATATATAGTCACTTTGCATGCAAGGAGTCAATTATTCATAGTCTTCAATATTTCTATAATGACAAGTAAAGGGAAGTGTACTGAAAAAGGAAACTAGGCAGACCAGTGAATCGAAGGCAAGAGAAGTGAGTAATACAAAAGGGGAAGGAAGTGATTGTGAAAGAACACATGCCTTGCAGTGCAAGCAAAACTGGAGTCATAATCATAGAACTGACAAGGTTATAGAGGGGTTTTGTTGTCTTCTTTAAATATTCTCACAAACTAATACATAATGCAAATATTGAAATGATTGTTATAGATATATGTAGTGATTTTGACATCTATTTTAATACTATACTTGTTTTGTTTTGTTTTTTGAGTGCTGGAGATGAACTCAGGAGCATTCAACCACTGAGCCACATCCCCAGACCTATTTTGTATTTTATTTAGAAACAGGGTCTCACTGAGTTGCTCAGCACCTTGTTTTTGCTGAGGCTGGCTTTGAACTCTGGATCTTCTGCCTCAGCCTCCCAAGCTGCTAGGATTACAGGCATGTACCACCATGCCCGGCTGTGTTATTTATTGTTATAAAATTGTTGCTCTGCTTTTCACTTGTGTGGATGAATTGAGGCATTTCAGTAATGCATGCATGGTATTGCCCTGGGAGTTTTAATATGAATAACACTTTTTAGAATTGCTCAAATGTAAACAGATCAAGAAATATTATCTTCTTTGGCAGTAGGGAAACTTTATTAATGAGTCAATTAAAATGTTGATGCTAGGTTTTGCCAACACAATTGGCTGATTTGAGTATTGATTTTCAGTGTTTAATAATGTCCTCTTTTGAAAAATAATTGAAACAGTTATGTAGTAATAACTAACATCTAATGATCACTACCTTGTTATAATATGCTAGGCATTGTATCAAACACTATATATATGATTTTAGTTTCACAATAGTCACACAAGGCAAGTGTTATTTCATTTTCAGAGCATAAGATTAAAGTATGCAATGGTTAAGGAACTGGTCTAATAACACAGAGTTATGAAATAGCAAAGCAAGAACTTAAACCCATGACTTTCTGACTTCTAAAATTCATTTACTTAATCCCAAATTATGCTGCTTTTCTGCATAATTTAGAAAGAGCTTGTCAATTTTGAACCAAACCATTTTTGTTTGTAGAGAATAAAGTTTCTCCTTTTCAGAGTCTCTCACTTTTTATCTCTAGAATTGAGTGACAGCCAACAAGACTTGTAGCTTTTGGCCTAGTTTATGACCTAGATATTGAAGAAGCAAGCAGATGATTTTTAAAATAATACTAAGCTATTTAAAGTATACTTTATTTCTACTTTCATTTTCCATCATTTTTTACTCTCATAAAATTTCTTTTCCTGGAAAGCTTTGTCTAGAATTCAAAAATTATAATATTAAAATGTTATTTATTAGAAATTTTGGCATGTATACTCAAAGATCTAGCAGTTTTTTTAATGGAAAATTTCTGAGACATTTCTTCCAAGGTTTCTTCTCATCCCCTCCCATACCAACACTCCCCTCTATTAAGAAATAAAGGGTTTTTAATGATGTTTAGGGATTTAATATATGGAGATGTTTTTTAATCTTGATTAAATACCATTCAAGTTTTTTAAAGCTATCTCTGGAAAAACAAAGTGTCCATTAGACCAGCACTTATTTCCAAAGAATGATGGTATTTTATACAATGAGCCAGCAATCTATGGTCCACATGCTTCCTCCGATTTCTCCGTAGGAAATAAGTACCTCCCTCCTTCCTTCCTTCCTTCCTTCCTTCATTGATCTCAAAGCCAACATTGAATGCAGTCAAATCTTCAGAGAGTTGAGCTTACCTACAGAATTGAGTATAAGCTCATTAGCATAGCATGCTATACTATGCACAAGACCCTCGTTTGATTTTCTAGCTTCATCCTCTGTCACATCACCTTTTATTTTTACCATTAGTAATTGTGAATTTCCTATGAACTCCTCTGCAGGCACAAAACCTTTAAATTAATGTTGTCCCTTAATATCCTTTCTCGGTTCTGGCATAGTCCCCCAGCCACACCTCTAGCTTAGTAGTCACCTTATTAAATTGAAATTATCTGACTGGTGTTTGTCTCCCTCATTAGACTATAAATTCCTTGGAGCTAAAATTTAATCGTGTTCATTTTTGTCTTCCAAGCCCTTTGTACAGTGTCTGAATATAGTAGGTGCTATGCAAATGTTTGCACTAAAATGATCTTCCAGAGGATATGGAATAGAATCTTAGAATGCTACTCTGTAAGAATACGGGTTACCACATTCTAGCATGATATGGCATTACAATAGCCCTTAGCAAGAATTTAATAATTATTTGTTGAATTAAACTAACGTAAGTATTTTAGTCCTTGTTGCACACATACATTTCTCAGATCTTTGTGTTGCTTATTTCATTAAATGTTAGGGCAGAGGTTACACACTGATGATGGTATGCTGAATACAACCCACAAATATGTTTCATTGGTTTGGTAAACATTGAGTTAATATTTAACAATGTTTCAAATGAAGAACCAGAATCTGGCTAATCTTTTAAAAGAAAATCTGATGATTTTCTGGTAATATGAATTTTTATTCCCATATGGCAAAGATTGACTGGGACTTAGGAGTGGTTGTGTCCTTTGCATAGGACACATTTCTATGATTTGTCATCATCCCTACCACTCCTTTTTGAATCCCTAACATGCAAGCTGCATATCACTTCTGTTTATAACAACATGTGCATTCTTTTTCTTTTGAGGATTTTATTTATTTATTTATTTATTTTGTAAATGGATAAGAACATAATGGCTTGGGATACTAAATGAAATGAAAAACTATTCCTGTTTTTCTCCTTGTAACATTTCTGACACCAAATATTTGGGATTTTTTCCCTCTATACCAGGTCATTCTCCATTTCTCTGTGGCTACCAACTGGGTGTCCAATGCCTCAATTAAATTCTGACACTAGCTACCCACAGTTGGTATCAGACCCAATCACAAGTGGTGGATCTCCAGATTATCCATAATTTTCTTTGACTTCGTTACAAACTGAGGGTTCCCACAATCTCTTCCTTATGTTTGATATTTGTTATAACAGCTTAAAAATCTTAATGAAACACTTTATTTGTTATTACTAGTTTATTATATAGGATATTACAAAAGATTTAAATGAATAACCAAATGAAGAGGTATGCAAGGCAAGGTCCAGAATGACTCCAAGTGCAGAAACTTCTGTCCCTATGGAGCTGGATGTGCCACCCTCTTGGCACATGTATATATTAATCAACCTAGAAATTCTCTGAACCCCATCATGTAGGATTTTATGGAGGCTTCTGTACATAGGCATGATTGATCATATCACTGGCCATTGTTGATTAAATCAATCTCAAGCCTCTCTGTCCTCAGAGATCTGGGGTTGGGCTAAAAGTTCCAGTTCTCTAATCCTGCCTTGGTCTTTCAGGAGATCAGCTCCATCTTAAAGCTATCTAGAGACCCGCCACCAATCATTTAATTAGCATAAAAATACTTTTATCATTCTGGGGATACTAAAGGTCTTACATGTTCTTATGGCAGGAACCAGAACCTGAAACCAAATATTATATCAAAAGATGCTCCTGGCATTCTATCACTCAGAAAATTATGAGAATTTTCAGAATTCTGTGTCAAGAAACAAAGGCAGAAACCAAATAATATATTTCTTACTATGCCACAGGCAAGGACTCTGCACCTAGACTGCCAAGGTTTAGATCCTGGTTTTGCCACTTATTAGCTGTTTTCTAACTCTGTGATCATTCACAAGTCATATTAAACCCATAAAATTGTGTCTGACACATAGTTAACACCACATATGTTTGCAATGATTACTGTTATTAGCCATGCATCTGTGAAATATGGAAATTTAACAAACCCAGGTAGGTTTATGTGTTTCAAGAATATATGTCTTCAGATGAGTGAGAGATAATTCCGTTTGCTAAATATACTGACATTTAGGCCTCTTTGCTCACATTTGGATTATTGCCCATACTTATAGGATTTATCTTTGTAACACCTTTTGTGGAATATGACTCTAATAGCTTGAAAAGGTAAGCAATTCTTGACTTTAAAAGCACATGTTTTTCCTCCTTACATTGTGAATATGAATCAACATTTATAAAGTATTCATGCTGGGGCTTGAGATGTGGCTCAAGCGGTAGCGCACTTGCCTGGCATGAGTGCGGCCCGGGTTCGATCCTCAGCACCACATACAAAAATAAAGATGTTGTGTCCGCCAGGAACTAAAAAATAAATTAAAAAAAAAAAAAGTATTCATGCTTATTTAAAATTGAATGCCAATTGCAATTATTGACCCATTTTATTTCAGGGAAACATGCAGAATTCTTGGGTTACAACAGTTGATGATTCCAGGGTAAATGAAGCTGCCAAGAAAAAAACATTTTTCCATGATGATGCAGATATTGGCAAAGCTACAACTATTGGAGAGGCTGAAAAATGGAAGCTAGAACTAGTGAGTATTTGGGTACTTTTCTCTTACATATCTGCTTTTGTTTTTCCCTTTTGTACTTTTGAAAATTCTAGTATAATATACATAATATAACATTTGTCATTTAATACATTCACAATATTGTACAACCATCAATACCATCCATTTCCAGAACTTTTTCATTATCCTAAACAAAAACTCTATACCCATAAAGTCTCATTTTTCACTTCCTCCCTGTAATCTACTTTCTGTCTTTATGAATTTGCCTATTCTATATATCTCACATTTATGAAATCAAACAACATTTATTTTTTGTGTCTGGCTTATTTCATTTAGCATAATTTTTTCAAGGTTTGTTCATATTGTAACATGTATCACAATTTCACTTCTTTTTAGGTTTGCCTATTTCATTATATGGGTGTATCATACTTTGTTTTGCTTCTACCTTTTGGCTATTGTGAATAATTTTGTTATAAACAGTGGTGTATAAACATCTTTTTGAGTCCCTACTTTTAATTATTTTAAGTATATACCTAGAATGGACTTGTTGGATCATATGAATAATTCTTTTTTTAAAATTCTGTATTTTAGACTTGATAATTTGATATTGTCCTATCTTTGAATTAAACAATTTTTTGTTTTTCCTGCTCACATCTGCTCTTGAACCCCTCAAATGAATTTTTCAAGTCAGTTATTATACTTTTTCAGCTCAAGAATTTCTGTGTGATTCCTTATTATAATTTGTTTTCCTGATTGCCTTTAGTTCTCTGTCCAAGTTTTTCTCTTATGTCTTTGAGTGTATTTAAGACATTTTAGCCTTCACCCGGCAAGTCTGGAATCTGTGGTTTCTTAAGAATAATTATGTCAGTTTATCTTGTTCATAACCTTGCGTTCCCTTCCAACTATCTATCACCCTACATCTTTGTTCTCCTTCGCAACCAAATTTTTCCTAACAGTCGTCAGTATTCATGTCTCCATTTCTTATTTTCTGTTCTTGTTTTGGCATGCTTCAATTGAACTTCAGTTCCTGATTGTCCATTGAGTCTGGTCTTTTGTTTTGTTTTTTTCCATTTGTGGGGATTGAACCCAAAGGTACTTACCACTGAGCTGCATCCCCAGTCCTTTGTATTTTTTGAGACTGGATCTAACTAAGGCTAGCCTTGAACTTGAGACCTTCTTCCTCAGCCTTCTGAATTGCTGGGATTCCAGGTGTGCCCCACCATGCCTAGCTCAGCCTGCTCCACCATGTAACAGTTTTCTATAATATGTGCATTAGTTGATAAGGCCCTCCTATTCATATTGACAGAATTCAATCAAGTACACAAAACAAAGATTAGATTTATCTCTAAAAGAACACCCATGTGTTTTTTTCTCTAGACCAAGATGTATAACATTATCATGTTCCATGGTCTTTGTATCCCTTCTCAATCACTATTCATTCATTTCCTTAAAGCAAATCAGGAAAATTTTGCAAGTATGTACCCTAAACATTCTTTTTCAAAACTATAAGTGGAATCATGTAATAGTATGTATTTTTGTGTGTCTAGGTTCTTTTATTCACTATTTGTTAGATTCATCTATGTTGCTGCATATGGCAGAGGTGTATGCATTTTCATTGATGGGTCTACTGTATGAATATACCATAGCTAATTTATTTATCCACTGTTAATGAATTTATGTTGTGTCAAGTTTGGAGCCAACATAAATAGGTAGACAACTTTCCAAGGTAGTTTTTATCAGTTTACACTCCTACCAGAGCATATAATTGGTACTATTGCCCTATGTCCTTACCAACATGTGGTATTCTCAATTTTTGTAATGGACTTGTAGTACTATCTTACGATTTAATTTGCATTTCCCTGACTCCAGATGTGTTTGAATATCTTTTCATATGTTTGTTGGGCATTTGATGTCCTCTTTTGTGAGTGCCTATTCAAATACTCCGCTCATTTTTATTTTGGTATCTGACATGTTGATTTGTGGGGGGTTTTATATATTGTCCAATAAATACACACACATTTTTATGGTTATATTGTAAATATATATTCCCACTCCGTGGCTTGTCTTATAATTCTCTTGATAGTTTATTTTCTTCCTTGTTTTGATGACTAGAATTTTAGTTTTAATTCCTTAACTGTGTAGCATTTTTGTGTCCTGATTAAACTCTTTTCCTACCTCAAAGTCATGACAATGTTCTCCTAAATTATCTTCCAGAAACCGTAGTTTTGTTTTTTATATTTAAATTTACAGTCTACCTAGAATCAATTTTTGTAGATGATGTGAAGTATAAGGGTAATCTTTTGTTCTTTTTCCTACATTTATATATATATATATATATAAATATATAAATATATATTTATATATATATATAAATATATAAGTATATATTTATATATATATAAATATATATATATATATATATATATATATGTATATATCTCCAAGTGCCATTTGTTGGAAAGATAACCTCTGCCTTTGTCATAAATTAGTTGTGGGTCTGTTTCTGAATCTGTTTTCTTTAATTGCACTTATACATTACCTCTTGATTATTCTACTAGACCATGACTTTCAGAACATCATACTTTCCTTCAGAATGTCTTGACTCTTTTTGGTCTTCTGTATTTCCAAATACATTTTGAAATTACTAAATTGCAAAATGTCATTATGAGATTTTGATTTTAAATTCCATTTAAATTATAGGTTAGTCAAGAATTAAGATCTTTATGGTATTGTATCATTTAATCCATGTAAACTGAATATCATACTTTATGTAGATCATCCTTTTATCAGTAATCTTTTGTAGCTTTCTGAATAAAAATAATAAAGTATTGCATACTTGTTTGTCTTGTCTTTTGTTTGGGAGGCGGGGACTGGATTAAACCCAGGATTGCTTTACCACCAAGCTACATCCCCAATCATTTTTATTTTTTAAATTTCTTTTTTAGTTGTAGATAGATACAATATATTTTATTTATTTTTTATTTGTTCATTTATTTATTTATCTTTGTGTGGTACAGAAGATTGAACCTAGTGCTTCACACATGTTAGATAAGCACTCTACCACTGAGCTACAACACCAGCTCTCATTTTTAAGACAGGGTTTACTACATTGCTAAGAGTCTTGCTATGTTGCTGAGTCTGGCCTTCAACTTTCAGTCCTCTTTCCAAAGCCTCCTAAGTCACTGGGACTACAGGCATGCACCACCATGCCCAATATTTTGTATAACCTCATTAGAATTATTCCTAGCTTGTTATTTTTAATAGTATCATGAATAATATGCTTTTGAATTTTCATTTTCTTACTCATTACTGGTATAGAGAACAGCATATGATTTCTGTGTTTTGACTAAGCCCCACTTCATTTAGAATACACATAGTTGAGTTTAGCTTTTTTATTTATCCTGAAATATTTGCATTTTAAATTGGGTGACCATATGATTGACAATTAATGTGATTACTTATGCAGTTTAAATAAATTTAATCAGCTTTTTATTTGACTTCTTTTTATTCTATTATTTAATTAATTCTTTGTAGGAGTTCCCTTTATCTTTTTTAATTGATCTGATAATCTTTAGTACCAGCATTCACTTGGTTGCTGAATTCAAAAAAACCTGAGATTATTTTAAGTGTCTCTTTCCCTCTCATGTCTATTCTATTTAAATCTTAAATAACTCATAAAAATCCTTTATTTTTTTCTATTTTTTGGTTATTCTAATTTGTTATATATGACAGTAGAATGCATTTTGACATATCATACATAAATGGAGTATAATTTCTCATTCTTCTGATTGTACATGTATAGAATCATACCTGTCATATAATCATATATGCACATAAGGTAATAATGTCTGATTCATTCTACTATCCTTCTTACTTCATATGGCTCCCTTCCCTTCATTCCCCTCTGCCTAATCCAAACTATCTCTATTTTTCCCTAGCCCCCTACCTAATATGAATTAACAACCACATATCAGGGAAAATATTCACCCTTTGGTTTTGTGGGATTGGCTTATTTTGCTTAGCACGATATTTTCCAACTCCACTTACCTACAAATGCCATAATTTCATTCTTCTTTAAGGCTGAGTAATATTCCATTTCTTATATATATATATATATATATATATATATATATATATATATATATATCATATTTTCTTTATCCATTCATATGTTATTATCTTGGTTGGTTCCACAGCTTAGCTATTGTGAATTGGGCTGCTACAAACATTGATGTGGCTGTATCGCTGTAGTTTGCTGATTTTAAGTCCTTTGAGTATAAACCGAGGAGTGGGATAGCTGGGTCAAATGGTGGTTCATTTCCAAGTTCCTGAGGAATCTCCATACTGCTTTTCATAATGGTTGCAGTCCACAAGCAATGTATGAGTGTTCCTTTTTCTTCACATCCTTTCCAACATTTATTGTGGCTTGTATTCTTGATAATTGCCCTTCTGACTGAGATGAAAGAGTAATTTTGATTTGAGATTCTCTAATTGCTAGAGATGTTGAATATTTTTTATATATTTGTTGATGGATTTTATTTCTTCTATGAAATATCTGTTCAGTTCCTTAGCCCATTTATTGATTGGGTTATTTGGGTTTTTTTTTTTTTTTTTTTTTTGTTAAGTTTTTTTGCATTCTTTATGTACCCTGGAGATTAATGCTCTATCTGAGGTATGTGTGGTAAAGATTTTCTCCCATTCTGTAGATCTCTCTTCATATTGTTGATTGTTTCCTTTGCTGAAAAGAAGTTTTGTTGTTGTTTAGTTTTGAAGCCATCACATTTATTAATTCTGGAATTTACTTCTTGCACTTTAGGAATCTTGTTAAGGAAGTCAGTTCCTAAGCCAACATGGTGAAGATTTGGGCCTACTTTTTCTTCTATTAAACACAGGGTCTTTGTTCTGTATGTAAGTTTTAATCCATTTTGTGTTGAGTCTTGTGTAGGTGAAAGATAGGGGTTTAATTTCATTTTGTTACATATGGATTTCCAGATTTCCCAACACCATTTGTTGAAGAGGCTATC